AGAAAAGAAAAGAAAAGAAAAGAAAAGAAAAGAAAAGAAAAGATGTGGCTCAGTGGTTGAGCGTTGGCCTATGAACCAGGAGTCTTGGTTGGATTCCCTTGTGGGTTCCATCCCCAGTAGGGGGTGTGCAGGAGGCAGCCAGTCAATGATTCTCTTTATTGATGTTTCTATCTCTCTCTCCCTCTCCCTATCTCTCTGAAATCAATAAAAATATATTTGAAAAAAGAAAACAAAATTGGCTAGGGGGCTTGGAAGTGGTTTGTGTAAGTGAGGGGCGGTGAAGTTTCAACTTTTTTCACTTTGTAGTGAGCCCACCTCTGCACATGCCCGTGTGGGCAGGGACTGCCCACCCTCCCACCCGCCGCCATCAGCAAGCAGCCCCGTGAGACCAGGGCAACTTCTCCAGCAGGTGACCAGTCAAGCTCCCTCTGTATTTCTCATTTGGTGAGGGGCAAGGTCCCCAAGATTGAATTTTGCCCCCATGTCCCTCCTCTCCAGATCATGGAGCCAGAGTTGGGGGAGATGGGAAGGAGCAGACATGCACTCCTCCCACCCCAGGTCCCTGAAAGGCGAGGTTGGGAGCAGACATTTAGAGCAGAGAGAAGGTTGGGGTTTTCAACTGGACTAAGGTTTTGAAGGCACTGACTGGAGAGATATAAAAAGTTCATATCCCACCAAGTCAAAACTCTTTTATAATCTGATGACACAGATGTTGTTTTGGAGTTTAAATTGCGGGATTTCAGGGAAGAATCAAGGCGGCATGAAGCGGAACTGCCTGTAACATGAACTTCCCCAGAGCACCCTTGAGAAGCACCCGAGGCCCAGTGTCTGAGCTACTGGGTTTGCTTCCTGATCCCGAGATCTGCCGGACACCCAGTCTCCAAGTCCTTTCACTGCTGGAGCCGTTTTCATGTGTGCAAAATGGTGTGAGGAAAGAGGATTGGGGTGTGCGGGCATGTGCGTTTCAAACGGCAGGATCCAAGTTCCCTGGGAGCAGAATAGGTAAATGCCTGGACAGCACGCCCTTCTTGGGGTCCAGGGCCAAAGACACAAGCTCAGGGGTGGATGGTGAGGTGGGGTGTCTCTGGTGGAGGTAACAAGTGGCTTTAGTTTGGATGGATGAGTCTCTAGCCAAGAGAAGCAAGCCCCACCCTGCAGGAACCTAGGTTTTCCAGACATCACAGTTGTCCTCCCCAATTTTTCTACTCCCTTCCCCACTCAGGCAGCAGGGAGAGCCATCTGCCCCACCCTAATCTCCCTGTCAAAGTCTAGTCACGTACTCATTACTTAGCAGTGGTTCTCAACCTTCTGGCCCTTTAAATACAGTTCCTCATCTTGTGACCCAACCATAAAATTATTTTCGTTGCTACTTCATAACTGTAATGTTGCTACTGTTATGAATCGTAATGTAAATATCTGATATGCAGGATGGTCTTAGGCGACCCCTGTGAAAAGGTCATTCGACCGCCAAAGGGGTCGCGACCCACAGGTTGAGAACCACTGACTTATTGTTGACAGCAGGCGCTGTGCTGAGACTAGAGACCATTCACACTCTCATTTGCATGTCCTCCTTCCAGGCAGGACCCAGAAATATTCCTCCACCTTCTAAATGCTGAGTCAGCACAAGACTCCTGACAAGGCAAAAAGGCTGTGTGCATTTTCTCACCCCAGGTCCTAACCCAGTGATGGCGAACCTATGACACTCATTTTTTTGGTTGATTTTCTTTGTTAAATGGCATTTAAATATGTAAAATAAATATCAAAAATATAAATCTTTGTTTTACTATGGTTGCAAATATCAAAAAATTTCTATATGTGACACGGCACCAGAGTTAAGTTAAGGTTTTTCAAAATGCTGACACGCCGAGCTCACAAGGTTCGCCATCACTGTCCTAACCTCTTGCTGGGTTAGGTTCCCCTACATGGACAGTCACAGCACAGAGAAGGTCCGGCTGGCTCAGAGCCTGTTCTCTCGACTGCTCTCTCCATCATTCTCCTGCACTCTCCTCCTCCCTCCCAGCCCAGCATTTTTCTCTTTTCTTTCATGTTAAACCAGTATAGCCCCCACTGCATTCCGTAATTTTTTTGAGGACTGTCTGTCAGGACAATCTTGACTACAAAGAACAACAACGAAAAACAACAACACAAAAACCAATTCAATCTGGCTTAAGCAAAGAAAACAACTTGTGAGCCCGCGGTACCCGAACAGCCAGAGTGGGTGTCTGCCCATCTGTCAGTTCTGCTCCTTATCTTTGTGGCGGCAAGACCACTCAGTGTCCCATCCTCTCAGCAGCCCCAGAGAAAAGAGACAACTTTTTCGCTTGGCTTCCAGGAGCGTCTCAGCACTGAGCTTATTTTCCCTGGTCCAGGTCACCTGCCTGTGCTTCAAGCAAGGCCTGCAGCCAAAGGGATGGGTTGGGCAGGACTGGAGGGGAGGTCTGGGGTCGGTTCCACCAGCTCCACAGGGACTGAGAATGAGGCAGGCATGTTTGCCCACCGTTCAGCAGGATGGGTGCTGGGAAGGCAGAACAACCCATGTCCATTATGAGTCATCATGTCAGAAACAGTAGGCCCGAGGCCGGGACAGCTGGGCTCAAAAGGAAATGGATAACCAATGGGCTGGTCACACATTGGTGGCTTTGGGCTGGTCTCTCCTGCTCTCATGTCAGTGGCAGGCTCTTGAGGGGTCAGAGGTGGAATGTGGGTTGTTGGCGAGGTCCTGCCCAGCGACCCATGGACCTCAACTTCCCCATTTGGGGGCTCTGTTCCTTCAGTCTTGGCCTCTGGCCTTCATAGGTCATGGGTCATGTGTCATGGCCACAGGCAAGCTCTGCCCGTCTCTCCCTTCCTCCCTCTTATCTGTGACCAAGGGATGAGGCCACACCACCCATTTCCAGAGCCTCAGACACCCTGATCTTTTCTATAAGCCTAAAAGGCCGGAGGCTTCCTGCTTGGTCCCCTCAGAGCAGACGCCCTGAGCAGAGGAGTTTCTGGGGGGCGTTGTTGTTGGCTCACCTCCCCCTGCCTATGCTATATCTGGGGTTCACCTCTATCTGAAGCCCGCCCTAACAATGCCAGGTTTGAACATTCCGGGGATGGGGTGTTCAGACCACCCAGGCCAAAGGCCCACACAACATGAAATGGAAGAAAGCACACCTTTATTTCAACCCCAAACCCCACCCCCGAACCCAACACCACTGCACTTGGCCTGATGCCCACAGCGCACAGCCCAGAGGATCCAGTGAGCAAAGCCCCACAATGCAGCCTCACCGATCCCCTAAAGGGGGTGTCTGTGTCTACTGCAGGAGGGGATGGGGAGCAGGGCCCAGACCCCAGGAGCAGCAGCTGCGGGAGGTCCCTGCGTTGGCCATCACTGGTCCTGGTTACAGAGCCATTGCAAAGGGGAGACAGTCCCAAGTGTGGGCTCCTGGCACAGACCAGCTGGCAGAGGTAGTGTGAGCACATCTGAAGGCGGGGCGTGCCTAATGACCAAGCCAGGTGCTCTCTGGGCTAAGAGTTGCCCTGGTTCTAGGAACAACAGGAGGGAGTAAGTAGGTGGAGAGGACTGGAGTCAGGGGGTAGCAGAGCTACAGGATATTGACTGGGTCCAGGAAAAATGGTTCCACAGAAATGGGGAAACTGCAGAGAAAGGCAGGGATCCACTGCCAGGCAGAAAGGGGACCTGGGGACAGAGAAAGAGGAGCCTAGAGGCAGGTAGACAGGGAGCCCGGGAGAGGGAGAGTCAGGGATAGAGAAAGAGGGCTTGAGGGGCAAAGAGGAGACAGGCTTAATTGTTTCCCCCTTCTCTTCTTCCACTAGCTCTGTGAGCTCTGGGGTGGGTGGTCCCCAAGCTGCCCTATCTGAGGACAGGACAGATAACAAGGCTGAGTTGAGGGTGGAAAGGGACCTGCTCAGCCCTGTCTGCACCACTTCTACCTAGGTTTGGACTCCTCCTCCTCCTCCTCCTCCTCCTCCTCCTTCCTCCTCCTCCTCTCCTCCTCCTCCTCTAGGGAATGCACTGCCCCAGCCAACCCACACTAATCCCCCTGCACCAATCCCAGCTCAACTCTTCCCTGAGGCTTCACTTAGTCACAGGCCATTAGCTACCCAGGCCCCTCACAGCGGGGAGAGAGGAAGGAGAGGGTGCGGTGGGGTGGGAAGGGAGGGAAGAGGCAGGGGAGTGAGAGCAAAATCCACACTGTCAGGTCCAGCACCAGCAATGCAGAATCTGCCCTCAATCCCTGGGACCTAAGTACAGAGAAAATCTGAAGAGAGATGTTTTAAAATGTACATAATTTTAAAAATATTTTGTGTGCGTATCAAGGTTTTTACAAAATCTTTAATTCATCATCTCCAAACTCTGTTTAAAATGTGTGTGTTTTAAAAATGCACTAAATTACTCACTATAGCAGCACCACCTTGAGTAACCAGAACCTACAAGTGCTGGACTTTAGATTTTTCTACCTTTAGGAAGGAGGGTACGACCACTAAGCTTGTGGATTTCAAGGATTTTACAAATCAGACAAAGCAACTTCCAGGAGCACTTGCAATCCTAACACTCGTTACTCCAGGAGTCCTGAGATCAAATGCCTGCAGGCGCCAGCCAGGTGCAGGAGAGATGCTCAGAGAGTCTTGGTGTCTGGGAGTCGACAGGGAGTGATGGGGACCGTGAGAACTGAAGAGTGAAGCCCGGATTGAGGAACGGTTGCTCTTTAGCTCCAGCAGAAAGTCAGCAGTTGCCCTTCTGCAGGGCTTTTAATTTCAGAGGAGAGAGAAATTTGGTATATATATTTTTAAATGTGGTATCTCCTTTTTAAAGATACATTTTTATTGATTCGGAGAGGAAGAGAGAGAGGAAGAGAGAGATAGAAACATCAATGATGAAAGAGAATCCCCCTGGGGATCGAGCATGCAAGAGCCTGCAACTCGGGCTCACAAGCCCTTGACCGGAATTGAACCCAGGACTCTTCAGTCCACAGGCTGATGCTCTATCCACTGAGCCAAACCGGCTAGGGCTGAATGTGGTATCTCTTGATTTTAAAATGTTAACTCAAACAAAATAAAAATCACCCCATTGGCCAATCAGAACAAGTCTCAGGCTAGTTTCTAGCCTGGTTTTTAGAATATCTAAGAGATTCTGAAATATTAGGGATCCCAGGATCATTTAGTTCCATGGGCCTGAGATTCTGCATTTCTAACTAACTCCAAGGTGATGTCACTGCTGCTGGTCCACCAACCACACTTTGCATATTGAGGATTTAGTTCATCCTTCCACCTAGGAATTCCCTCTGGCTATGTCCTTGGTCAATGTCTCCAGTTCTACTTGCATACTTCCAGGGGCTGGATGCTCACTACTTAGAGTGGCAGCCTGGGTGCCCGCCGCACCTGCTAAATTCTATCACGGTCTGCAGCGATGGGGAAGGACACCCAGTCAGACATGCCGAGGCCCATGCTCTGAACATCAGAGTTCCACAAAAGACGCTTCAGCAGGGACTTGCCAGCATGGGGTTGGCTGCCAGTTAAGCTGAGAACACTACCATCCCTTGGGTGTTCTGGTGAGTAAAGGTTTGGTGCAGTTGGTTTGCTTTTCTTTCTCCAGCGCCTTGAAGCAAGCTTTTCTCTGCACTTAGGCAAGTTATGTGGTTATGCCCACAAGTGCAGGAGCCAGTTCCTGACTGGTGGGGATGGAGTAGGGACTGACGCTTGAGGCTAAACAGAAACCCTCACATCCTCAGCCTGTGTGACATCCCCTACTCTGGTGGGACAGGAGGTCACCTTCTCTGGGGTTGGGGCATCAAATCCCAGAACCTCCTTCCTGGTGCCTTAAGAAGCCCTGGAAAGTGGAGACCGCCCCCCACATCTCAACATCTCAACAACCTGCTGGTCTCAGGGTCACTGGGGCTGGAGGTCACATGCCCAGTGCCCTGTATGCCAAGGCCAACCATTCTAAAACCCAGCCGTCAGAGCCAGGGGTGTGGACACCACCTAGGCCACTCCGCACTTCACCAATGAGGGGAACCCAAGCCCGGAGAGGGACGAGACCTTCCCAAGGTCACACAGCTGGTTGGCAACCAGATCTTCAAAGGCCCAGAATCCTTTGACGAAAAGCTGCACAGAAGCCACCGGTGGGTAGTAGGCAGATTTGGTCACCTATAGCAGCAACTGTCAGGACGAGGACCTCCTGGGGGTAACCTGAGGGGAGAGGAGTGTGTCAGAGGAAATCGTGGGAAGGAATCATGAGGGTTCACCCAGGAAGGGGAGGGTCATGGGTCAGAGTTTCTTGAAGGCTGGTGGGGGCCGGAAGGGCTTCTGCAGTCATCTGTCCTCTGGTGAATGTTGTCCACTAGAGTTCTGTCTCTTGAGCAGGGCACAGCCTGTGGAGGTGGAGGGCTGGTTATTGCAGAGGGGTCAGAGGAGAGGTCACAGAAGGTCATGGTTACTGGGATTCCCAAGCCTGAGTTCCTGGACCACTCCAGACCTACCCTACCAGAATCTGTGTGGCTGGTGCTCGCCTCCCAGGGGAAAGCTCTGGGTTTAGGAACCAGCCTGGCCTCCCTAAGGCAGAGAGAAACCAGGCCCACTGGCTTGGATGGGAAGTTGCAGGCAGGGCTGGTCCTTGAGCTCGGAAAGAGGCGCCAGTCCCCGGGAGGCATCTCCCAGAGGTGTGCAGCCCCTGGACCCTGGGGTGAGGGAGCCAAGGGGCAGCACCTGTCCCAGCCGGGCGTCACTTTCCCGGGAACAGGCCCGGCCTCGCCCTCTCCAGCTTCTGGCGCCGCTCGGGAGGTATCTCATGCAGGTTGATGCCGTGGTTGCTGGCCCTGCAGGGGGAGGGCGGCCTCAGGGGTCGGAAATGGGAGTTGGGAGGGCAGGGCCCAGGTCTTGCTACTTGGCGGGGTCAGGCACGGGGCCAGGGGCAAGGAGAAAGGCCGCGCCCTTCGCTCGGAGCTCGCCCGCCAGCGGATGACGGCTCCTCACCCCGGATGCAGGTCTGGCGGTTTGGGGATAGGCTTGTTGAAGCCGCGTCTGCCCACCAGCCAGTACGTTTCCTCCGCGCCCTTGCCCTGGGAAGACACGGGGAGGGGGGGACTCAGGCGGGCTGGGGCGAGGGCGGGTGGATCCCGAGGTCTACGTGGACCGGGGAGACCCG